GTAGTAGTAGTAGTCGTAGTAGTAGTAGTAGTAGTAGTAGTAGTAGTAGTAGTAGTAGTGGTGGTGGTAGTAGTAGTAGTAGTAGTAGTAGTAGTTATAGTGGTAGTAGTAGTAGTAGTAGTAGTAGTAGTAGTAGTAGTAGTAGTAGTAATAGTTTGTTAGTAGTAGTAGTAGTAGTAGTAGTAGTAGTAGTAGTAGTAGTAGTGGTATTAGTAGTAGTAGTAGTAGTAGTAGTAGTAGTAGTAGTAGTAGTAGTAGTAGTAGTAGTCGTAGTCGTAGTCGTAGTCGTAGTCGTAGTCGTAGTCGTAGTCGTAGTCGTAGTCGTAGTCGTAGTCGTAGTCGTAGTCGTAGTCGTAGTCGTAGGCGTAGGCGTAGGCGTAGTCGTAGTCGTAGTCGTAGTCGTAGTCGTAGTCGTAGTCGTAGTCGTAGTAGTTAGTAGTAGTAGTAGTTAGTAGTAGTGTTCGTAGTAGAGTAGTAGTAGTTTAGTAGTAGAGTAGTAGAGTAGTAGTAGTCGTAGTAGTTCGTAGGTATAGTAGTCGTTAGTGTCTTTAGTAGTAGAGCTACTAGATAGTAGTAAGTAAGTAAGTAGTAGTTAGTGGTGGTGAGTAGTAGTATGGTAGTAGTAGTAGTCGTAGTCGTCGTTCGTAGTCGTAGTCGTTAGCGTTAGTCGTAGTCGTTAGTCGTAGGTCTCGTAGAAAATAGTAGTAGTCGTAGTTATTAGTATTAGTAGTAGTAGTAATAGTAGTAGTAGTAGTATATAGTAGTAGTAGTGAGTAGTATATGAGTAGTTAGTAGTGTAGTAGTAGTAGTAGAGTAGTAGTAGTGTATTAGTAGTAGTAGTAGTAGTAGTAGTAGTATAGTAGTTAGTAGTAGTAGTAGTAGTGAGTAGTAGTAGTAGAAGTAGTAGTAGTTTAGTAGTAGTAGTAATAGTAGTGGTAGTAGTAGTCGTAGTAGTAGTAGTAGTAGTAGTAGTAGTAGTAGTAGTAGTAGTAGCAGCGGCAGCAGCAGCAGCAGCAGCAGCAGTAGTAGTAGTAGTCGTAGTCGTAGTCGTAGTCGTAGTCGTAGTCGTAGTCGTAGTCGTAGTCGTAGTCGTAGTAGGGTGAGGAGGGGGAAGAGGAGGAGGAAGAGGAGGAGGAGGAGGAGGAGGAGGAGGAGGGGGGAGGAGGAGGAGGACGAGGAGGAGGAGGGACAGGAGGAGGAGGGGGAGGAGGAGGAGGAGCAGGAGGAGGAGGAGGAGGAGGAGCAGGGGCAGGATGAGGAGGAGGATGATGAGGACGAGACCCTCCGTGCCCTCGCAGGGCAGCCATTCGCGGACGGCCCTCGGCAAGCCGAAGGCGTTCCAGCAGCGAGGGAGCAGCCGCACCAGTCACAGCTTCCTCGAGAAGCAAGGTGCCTCCCAGCGGATGGGTCCGGGCTGTGTCCGCAGGGGATTCGGAAGGAGGGAGGGGACAGGCTAGGTGCTAGGATAAGTTCCGCGCGGGTCATCCGCGAACAATCGCTCTGTTCCCGCAGAATCGCGGCCCAGGGGCCTGACCCGCCAGGCCGCGGATACGGATCTGTTTTTGTCCCACGACAAAGGGGGGATGTAAGTCTGGAAGCGGGAGGAAGAGTGAGGGGAGGCGGTCAAGCTAGGTGCGCGCGCGCGCGCCCCCTATCTTACATCTGACCCCTCACACCCATCCCTCCCCATTGCGCTGATTTTTGTTCTACCAGTCGGCTCGTGGCATAGCGGACCTAGGGTTCAAAAATGGGCCCCATCTTGCTATGCGCAATCAATGGGAACCAGCGAGCTGCGTACATTGGAGGAGGAGGTGGCCCAGTGTAATTCAAGAGGCATCGACGATGTTGCAATAAAGCCTCCCTCCAGGTTCCCTCTTCGTAGGCCCCTGCAATCATGTATCTTCACTGTTCCTCTGTCTTCAAAGGTGCGAGCCCTTGAAACTGCTGCATTTTTGAAGGCGACTGTGCACGGCGCTAAGCCGAGTGCCAACTTTTGACAGAGCGCCGTCCTCCATCGCGGAAGCTGCTTCACACTTTTCAGACGATTGCTCGTGTCGCCAAGGCGAGAGCAGGCTTCTGAAGACCATCCGCCCTCCATCCGTGAAGCTGCTCGCAAGCTTTTAAGACGAGTGTGCACGCCGCTTAGGCGGGAACCACATTTTGAAACCGACGCGCCCTCCAGCAGTTACACTGGTGTAGACCTTTCGGGCGAATGTGCGTGTCGCTAAGGCGAGAGCCACATGTTGAAAACCACCCGCCCTCCATCGTTCATGCTGCTGCAAGCTTTCAAGACGAATGCGCGCGGCGCTCTGGCGAGATCCACAGGTTGGAAACCACCCGCCGTCCATTCGTGACGCCGTTGCAGCGTTCACGCTTTATGGAACAAAACGGAGGACGAGGAGGAGACGGAGGAGGAGGAGGAGGAGGAGGAGGAGGAGGAGGAGGAGGAGGAGGAGGAGGAGGAGGAGGAGGAGGAGGAACAGGGGGATGGGGGAGGAGGAGGAGGACAAGGAGGAGGAGGAGGGGGAGGAGGAGGAGGAAAAGGGGGAGGGAGAGGAGGAGAACGAGGAGGAGGAGGATGCGGAGACGGAGGATGAGAAGGAGGTGACGGAGGACGAGGAGGATGACGACGAGAAGAAGAAGAAACATAAGACGGAGGAGGCGGATGGGGAGAAGGAGGAAGGGGAGTAGGGGGTGGAGGAGGAGGAGAAGGAGGCGGAAGAAGAGGCGGAATACAAATACGGCGAACGAGAAGAAGGATACTACTGACACTTGTTATACTAAGAAGGGGACAAATAATAACACGACGAACCAGAGCAGTACAATAACACGAATAGTAGTAGTACTAGTGCTACCAAGCAGAAGAAGACCACGACTACTCCGAATCAGCAAACGACGTCTAGTCCTAATACAAGCGAAGGATGCGAACAAGGAGGTGCGTCCGACTAATATTGACACCATGAGGAATACTATTAATAACGCGACGAAGGCTAAGAGTTCCAAGGCTAATCAACCTAGTATTAATGTACTAGTAAGACTCATAAGAACACTAATGGTGTCACTACTAATGCTAAACGTCGTAGTGCTAATACAAGTAACACGCGCAACAAACGCATTTTAGTAACACTAATACCAGTACTAAAATTAGCCTGGCGAAGGACCCAACCATATGCAGTTGAGAGTACCGCAATTGTGAATATCTTCTTCGGTGGCGCTCCCTATGGGGCCACGAGCCGTATGAGGGGTGTGCCGAAATGCGTGGCAGTGTACACAACACGAACGAAGACGATAGGTCCGAATATGAAAGCTTGAGCGCGTGCGAGTCGGATCGCGAGCGAGTCTGATTATGAATGAATCTGCGCGCGATTGATTCTATTCGCATGAATGCGTGCATGGATACGCCCAGTGTAAATGTATGTATACGACTGTGAACAGTTTGGGTCTGCGTGACTCTCGGTACTCGTGACTCTGAGCGTCGCCTCTGCAGGGGGCTTCCCTGGGAACCCCGACGGCAGCGCCCGCGCGCCGCGACGCCCATGTCGGCACGCCACACACCTGGTGTGCGGGACGCATGCGGACGGCAGCACTGGGGCCTTCGGTGGAGCTCCCTGTGGGGCCACGAAACGTGTGAGGGGTGTGCCGAAATGGGTGTGCGGGACGCATGCGGACGGCAGCCATGGGGCCTTCGGTGGAGCTCCCTATGGGGCCACGAAACGTGTGAGGGGTGTGCCGAAATGGGTGTGCGGGACGCATGCGGACGGCAGCACTGGGGCCTTCGGTGGAGCTCCCTGTGGGGCCACGAAACGTGTGAGGGGTGTGCCGGAATGGGTGTGCGGGACGCATGCGGACGGCAGCCATGGGGCCTTCGGTGGAGCTCCCTATGGGGCCACGAAACGTGTGAGGGGTGTGCCGAATGGGTGTGCGGGACGCATGCGGGCGGCAGCACTGGGGCCTTCGGTGGGGCTCCCTATGGGGCCACGAAACGTGTGAGGGGTGTGCCGAATTGGGTGTGCGGGACGCATGCGGGCGGCAGCACTGGGGCCTTCGGTGGGGCTCCCTATGGGGCCACGAAACGTGTGAGGGGTGTGCCGAATTGGGTGTGCGGGACGCATGCGGGCGGCAGCACTGGGGCCTTCGGCGGGGCTCCCTATGGGGCCACGAAACGTGTGAGGGGTGTGCCGAATTGGGCGTGCGGGGCGCATGCGGGCGGCAGCACTGGGGCCTTCGGTGGGGCTCCCTATGGGGCCACGAAACGTGTGAGGGGTGTGCCGAATTGGGTGTGCGGGAAGCATGCGGGCGGCAGCACTGGGGCCTTCGGTGGGGCTCCCTATGGGGCCACGAAACGTGTGAGGGGTGTGCCGAATTGGGTGTGCGGGACGCATGCGGGCGGCAGCACTGGGGCCTTCGGTGTGGCTCCCTATGGGGCCACGAAAACGTGTGACGGGTGTGCCGAATTGGGTGTGGGTGACGCATGCGGGCGGCAGCACTGGGGCCTTCGGTGGAGCTGTGGGGTGTGCCAGAATGGTGGGTGGAACCGCATGCGGGCGCAGCCACTGGGGCCTTCGGTGGAGCTCCCTATGGGGCCACGAGCGTGTGAGGGGTGTGCCGAATTGGGGTTGCGGGACGCAATGCGGCGGCAGCACTGGGAGCCTTCGTTGGGGCACCCTATGGGCCAACGAAGCGTGTAAGGGTGTGCCGAAATTGGGTGTGCGGACCGCATATGTGCAGGGCGGGCAGCCACTGGGGCCTTCGGTGGAGCTCCCTATGGGCCCACGAAACGTGTGAGGGGTGTGCCGAAATGGGTGGTGGGGAGGCATGCGAACGCAGCCACTGGGGCCTTCGGTGGAGCTCCCTATGGGGCCACGAACGTGTGAGGGGTGTGCCGAAATTGGTGGTGGGGAGGCATGCGAACGCAGCCACTGGGGCCTTCGGTGGAGCTCCCTATGGGGCCACGAACGTGTGAGGGGTGGCCGAATTGGGTGTCGGGACGCATGCGGCGGGCATCCCCCACACAACACCCCCCACAGACACTGGGGCCTTTCGGCGGAGCTCCTATGGGGGCTAACGAAATGTACTGGGCTGGAAAAACGCAGGGCGCAAGAAGAGCTGAGGAAGGGATAGAGGTGAGAGGAAGGAGAAGAGACCGGGAATCGGTCTCAGTCAAAACGAGGACCCAAAACCCAGGAAGTGTCCGGCCAAGACTACGTGACACGCTCAAGCTCTTGAACAAACCTAGGGAGGCGGAGGAGGAGGAGAGGGATGAGGAGGAGGAGGATGGAGGAGGAGGATGTGGGAGGAGGAGGAGAGAGGGAGGAGGAGGGAGGAGAGGAAGAGGATGAGGAGAGGAGAGAGGAGGAGGAGGAGTGGGGAGAGGAGGAGGAGATATAGGAGGAGGAGGAAGAGGAGGAGAACAAGGTCGAGACATCGGAGACTGGACGGGTGGGGGGCGGGACGGCGGGGGCGGTGCGACGCCGGCGTCAAGTGGTCGGGACGGAGTGAGGCGGAGTGCACTGAGTGGGCGGGGAGGGGAAGATGGTCGCGGAGGCGAGGCGGTGGGGGGCGTGCGACGCCGAAATCAAGTGGTCGGGGCGGAGGGGGGTGGGGTACAGAGGGCATTGGGCTGCTGGGCAGGGGGGGAGGTCGGGGGGGCGGGACGGTGGGGGCGGTGCGGCGCCGAAATAAAGTGGTCGGGGCGGAGGGGGGCGGGGTGGAGAGGGCACTGGACGGGGTGCGGTGTCAAGCTGGCGTTGGTGGCCGTTGGTGTAGAAAGTGGTCGGGGCGGAGGGGGGCGGTGTGGACAGGGCATTGGACGGGTGGCGGTGTCACGCTGGTGATGGTGGTGGCTGGTGTGGAAAGTGTTCGGGGCGGGGGTGGGCTGGGTGGAGAGCACTGGGCGGGCGGCGGTGTCACTCCGGTGGTGGTGGTGGTGGTGGTTGTGGTTGGCGTGGGTGGGTGGAGAGGCGGGGGGGCCGGGCGGGGGCGGCGGCGGCGCGACGCCGAAATAAAGTGGTCGGAGCTCTAGGAACCCTGTGCAAGATAATAGAATGATCGGGGCGGAGGGGGCATTGTGCGGGGGTTCCGCTGGTGCGCGGGGGAACGCTGGGGAGGGGGGTGCGACGCGACGCGGAATTCTTCACGCTTCGCGTATCCCCACCAGCCCATCTCAAAACAGCAACTCTTGCGAAACATGAGGCCTCGTGGTGCCTCCTGGGGACCTCTTGTGGGCCATCTGGGGAACTCTAGGGGCCATCTGTGACCTCTGGGCCCATCGTGGGTGCTTGTATGACGCTGCCCCGTCCACCGGAGTGGACTCGTTTCAGCTCCCGTGGTGTGAGTCGTATCGAGGCCCCCGACGTGGTGTGAGTTCTTTCGGGCTCCTCATGTGTGAGACTTTCGGCGGCTCGTCCGTGTGATTCACGTTCGGCTCCTCTTGTGGTTGAGTCGTTCGGGCTCTTCGTGGTGTGAGTCGTTCGGGCCCCTCGTCCTGGTGTGAGTCGTTCGGGCTCCTCGTGGGGCCTCTTGGGGGCCTCTTGGGCGCCTCTTGGGGGCCTCTTGGGGGCCTCTTGGGGGCCTCTTGGGGGCCTCTTGGGCGCCTCTTGGGCCTCTTCGGGGCCTCTTGGGGGCCTGTTGGGAGCCTCTGGAAGCCTCTTGGGGGCCTCGTGGGGGCCTCTGGGAGGCCTCTTGGGAGCCTCCTGGGGGCATCTTGGAGCCTCTTGGGGGCCTCTTGCGACCTCCGCAGAAGCGCAAATGAGCGCTACCCCGTGAGAAGAACAAGATGAGCCCAAAACCTTCGTAAAATCAATGATTTTGAGAACGAGGAAGAGGAGCGCTGCCCCCTCAGAAGGCCAAAATGAAGCCGAAACCGTAGTAAATTAAGTCGTCGGGGCGGAGGAGTAGGACAATTTTTGAGGTGCCGAAATAAAATTTCCGACTCCTCATCAGGGAGTCGTGAAGTCGGGGAGTCGGGGAGTCGGCCAGTCGGCCAGTTGCCAATCGGGGAGTCGGGGAGTCGGCCAGTCGGCCAGTCGGGGGGTCGGCCAGTCGGGGAGTTGGCCAGTCGGCCAGTCGGCCAGTGGGCCAGTCGGGGAGTCGGCCAGTCGGCCAGTCGGGAAGTCGGGGAGGGGAGTCGTGGAGTCGGCCAGGTCGGCCAGTCCGTCAGTCGGGGAGTCGGCCGGTCGGCCAGTCGGCCAGTCGGGGAGTCGGCCAGACGGCCAGCCGGCCAGTCGGGCAGTCGGGGAGTCGGGGAGTCGGGGAGTCGAAGAGTCGGCCAGTCGGACAGTCGGCCAGTCGGCCAGTCGGGGAGTCGGCCAGTCGGCCAGTCGGCCAGTCGGCCAGTCGGGGAGTTGGCCTGTCGGCCATGGTCGGGGAGTCGGCCAGTCGGCCAGTCGGGGAGTCGGCCAGTCGGCCAGTCGGGGAGTCGGGAAGTCGGCCAGTCGGCCAGTCGGCCAGTCGGGGACTCTGCCAGTCGGGCAGTCGGGGAGTCGGGGGGTCGGAGAGTCGGCCAGTCGGCCAGTCGGCCAGTCGGCGAGTCGGCGGTGCAGCTGAATGTTGAGGCGGCCAGTCGGCCAGTCGGGGAGTCGGGGAGTCGGGAAGTCGGGGAGTCGGCCAGTCGGCCAGTCGGCCAGTCGGGGAGTCGGCCAGTCGGGGAGTCGGCCAGTCGGGGAGTCGGCAAGTCGGGGAGTCGGCCAGTCGGCCAGTCGGCCAGTCGGCCAGTCGGCCAGTCGGCCAGTCTGCCAGTCGGCCAGTCGGCCAGTCGGCCAGTCGGCCAGTCGGGGAGCTGGGGAGTCGACCAGTCGGCCGTCGGCCAGTCGGGGAGTCGGGGAGTCGGCCAGTCGGGGAGCGCCAGTCGGCCAGTCGGCCAGTCGGGGAGTCGGCCATGTCGGCCAGTCGGCCAGTCGGCCAGTCGGCCAGTCGGGTGGTCGGGGGGTCGGCCGATTGGCCAGTCGGCCAGTCTGCCAGTCGGCCAGTCGGCCAGTCGGCCAATCGGCCAGTCGGGGGGTCGGGGGGTCGGGGCGTCGGCCAGTCTGCCAGTCGGGGAGTCGGCCAGTCGGGGAGTCGGCCAGTCGGGAAGTCGGCGAGTCGGCCAGTCGGGGAGTCGGGGAGTCGGCCAGTCGGCCAGTTGCCAATCGGGGTGTCGGGAAGTCGGCCAGTCGGCCAGTCGGGGAGTTGGCCAGTCGGCCAGTCGGCCAGTCGAGAAGTCGGCCAGTCGGCCAGTCGGGGAGTCGGGGAGCCGGCCAGTCGGCCAGTCGGGGAGTCGGCCAGTCGGCCAGTCGGCCAGTCGGCCAGTCGGGGGGTCGGCCAGTCGGGGAGTCGGCCAGTCGGCCAGTCGGCCA